TCATCTGTCGATGGAGGAGTCAAATCGATGGAGGGATGCAGTTCAGAGAAGTTCGAGCATTTTCATCCCGTTTTTATCACCAAAAATGATGTTTTGTGCAACGAAGTTCGCAAAAATGTCAAAGAGTTGATAAACGCTAATCCATCCTTGAAATCAATAGTGGTATGTGATGACTCACTTCCAAATCGGATGCAGGATTTGGGAGAAACTTCCTGGCCTCTAATTGTTAGTTCCCGTGATTGGCTGCTCCTCTTGGATGCGTCTTTACCTGAAGATTCGTTTTTTCAAAGAAAACCTGATGGAAGTTTGCAGAACAAAATCAAAGGATGGGGAAAAGAGAGCAAACACATGCGTTCCCTTCCTGTGAATGGTGAAGATCAAAAGATGAGAGAAGTGCAAGAGGTTCATCAGATAACAGAACATACCGGTTCAAAGCGTCCCCGAAAGCCTATCACTTCTCAAAATCTTAAAAGAGAACTCACGTATCAAGTATTCAGGGACTATTTCTGGCCTAAAATGGAAAGAAAAATAAAGAAAGAGATCCATCCAACTCTCGTATGGACAGAAATCAGGTCATTTATCAAGGGATCGGCCGAGGCTTTAAACACACCTCAAGGTTTTCTTTCGAAACAGGAATATCAAGAAATCGGCCGAAAAAGAGCTCCTTTCTTTGTGGGAGACAGGGACACAATTTATGAAATTTTTGAGTCGTATCAAAAATTTCTCACTTCAAAGGGGAAGTATGACGAGGCCGACCTGGTCCATCACCTCCACAAACGCCTTTCTGTGAATCTGGAAAAACTGCCATTGTCCATCCATAGAGTTTATGTAGACGAAACACAAGACTTCACTCAAGCGGAGTTGACTCTTCTCATCCTGTGCTGTCGCCAGCGAACTCGAATGTTCTTCACTGGGGATACGGCTCAGAGCATCATGAGAGGAATTGCTTTCCGTTTTGATGACATTAAGACTCTGCTTTTTAATTTGAAGTCGACGTATGACAATACAATAAATGTTCCAAAGATTCTTTTCCAGTTGACACACAACTATCGTTCCCATTCTGGTATTTTAAAGTTGGCTTCTAGTGTAGTCAAGTTGCTGGGAAGGTTTTTCCCTCAGTCGTTTGACAAGCTCGAAGAGGACACCGCCTTATTTGATGGTCCCAAGCCAGTTCTCCTCGAGTCCTGCAGTTTGTCAGACTTGGCTATGATCCTTYGAGGAAACAAACGGCAAACTTCAAGAATTGAATTTGGTGCCCATCAAGCTGTTCTTGTGGTATCTGAAGAGGCTCGTGATAACATGCCAGAAGAATTGAAACATGGCTTGGTTCTCACTATATACGAGGCAAAAGGTCTGGAGTTTGGATTTTTGTGATTGGTCGGATTTGGTTGGGACTGACCCTCCGCCGCCTCATGGGAAATCCGGGGTAAACCCCTGAATTTAGGGAATTACTTAGAATAGACAACTGAGAGTAGTTATACTGCTATTTACTAATGATGATAATAACATAAACCGTCCAGTATTTCTGTTGTGTGCCATCAGGGATGACTTTGAAACAATGAAAAATAATAACGCTAATCCATCTACAAGTTGCATATCCTTAAACGGAAGTACCTTGCCTGTCAAACTTATATTGTTTTATGATTCCTTAATGGACGTCTCAAAGTCAGATTTCCTTAAACCCCTGCTGATGACACAACAGATTCTGTCAATCAAACAGTCCGTACGGGTATAAAACCTGGCTTAGGACGGCGAACTGGCACAACAGTTTTTGCCTGAATTAAAGTTACTAAAACGGATTTACACTTGTTGTCATTTGCAAATAAAACTTAAGTTTTTCATTGAAGTTCTTCTTTAAATTTTCTTAATTTTCATATCCTTAAACTATTCTTTTATCATAATTGTTCTAACATAGAAGATTTATTTGTAAAGTTAATTTTTTTAGCATTGATTAACATGGCCGCTGCTTTTCGCTCTTACAGTCAGTAAATTCACTAAGAAGTATCATGGGGCAGCATCTTTTGATAAGCACGCTCCATAAGCGTAAGTTCTAGATAGTAGATATTTTGAAACCGTTCTGTAATGGCTGCGCCCATGTCCATAACAGTACTAGCTTAATTCAGACTTTTGATGTTGTTTTGTTGTTTTTCTCATCGATGGTAAATCGTTAAAGGTTCTCATTTTGTCAGTAGATTATTAATAGAAGGACTGATTGAATAACACCGATTGGAATAGTAAAGTTCACTTAGAAATAGATCTAATTTAATTCAAAGTAATGCAGTTTGTTTCAAATAGATTTTTGTTGACATCAATGTTGATTACCTTTTTCATTAGGCTGAGCTGAGTACTCTATCACTATTTTTCTCCATATTCTTCTTAAGGACTAAAAGACATATAGAATTATGTAAATTCAATATGGAATAGAAGGAACTTATAAAAACACATTATGTTGTAATTGAACTTAAATAATCATTGTTATAAGGTAAGACAATGTCTGATAATGTATTAGGTGAAATGCTTGCTCTGATTGTTTTGGTATAGTTTATAAAATTTACACAGTCTATGCTTAATTCATGGACAAAATTGGAAATTTTCTGCTGAATAAGGCTCAAATTTGCTACTCTAGAATGAGTGTATGACGTTTTATTAAAGTATGAACCAATTTTTTGAGCATTTTATCAAATTAATTTCAAGTACATAGACAAAAGACTTATTTCACTAAGTGAATTTGATAAATTGGATGTGGCTTTATCAAACTGGTCAAGATTACAGTACTACAAAAAAGGCAACTAACAAAGTCCTCTATTTGCCTTCCTGACCTATAGGTAACCTAGTTATTTTCTATTTCAATACCTTATCTTGATAAGAAGCTGAAATATTCCAAATATTGATGGTAGATTATTCTTGCTAATCCGTAGCCCTCATGCACAGCAGTTAATTTTCATGAAAGCGCCATTAGCTATATACACATGAATATATTGGCCCCAAACCCAATTAACCGGTGTATCAATATTTGCACAGGAGATATTTTCAAATGTCACGTTCAAAATCAAAATTAAAATTAAAATTACTATGGAATATAGAATTAATGGCTAGGTCCGATTGCACTACCAGAATAATTGTCTTGATATATTGGGTTTTGTTTATTATCAAAATGAATATTGTACTTGTAATATATTTGTTATGTGACATTTTTTGTCTGCTTACGCTTTTTATTCCTTTATAGTCTTTCTAGTTGGATTTTGGTTCTTTTCCTTTGGCATAGCGTTGTCAGTCATCTTTGGAATGCACAACATATGAAAGGTTTGTAGCTTTATTCATTAATAGTTAGTGGAATTGTTGTCTTGTAATTTATTGTGATTTTGTCTAAAAAGTCACTGTTGTGAAATATTGTTTCTGGCATGCTCTGAAACCACTCTTTATAAAATTCATTCTTTTCTTCTTGCAGAAATTCCCAGACACTAACTACTGCAGCTTCCACAAGTTCGGTCTGAAAGAAGATCTAATAATAATCATAATTCAAAGGTTCGCTTTTATATGACTAGGGTGACCAGCCTTCACATGACAGTGAAATGAGTAGAGGATGGCCTCGACGTCTTGTATAAGAGGATGGGTGGCCCTTTGGTGGGGGGTGCTCAAGCCAGAACGCATGATCTTGGCACACACTTAAAATTCCTGGTCTGGACCTGGTTGCAGGAGCCAAGAAACCGTGTCTTTATCGCCATCTGCGCTACCGTTCTGATAATTGTTCTCATCAGCTGCTTCTGCTTTCACTTTGTGCGAAGTCTGACAAAATATGACTATTCTGGTACTCGCCATTGGCATACACGGCGCAGGATTCGGGACCGAATCACTGATGCTTTCTTTCAAGAGCTATCTCACCATGCCCTACTGACTAGTGTAAGCCAACCATGCCATGCTCACTTCCATCGTGGTCAGGACAGGACAGTTGATGGTCCAGGTGACAGTGAAGAAGGTAGTATTCTTACTGTTGCCCCACCACCTTCCTACCAGGAGGCTGTGAGTGTGACTATAGACCGGGCCGTAGACAGCCAAGGAGAAACACAGGGTACTAGAAATACTTGTGAAGAGAATAGCCAGTCCAGGAACACTCATGATATAGAACTCGAACCGCCTCCATCTTATGATAGTGTCTCACACATAACAAGTCGTGAATTGGTTCCTCCATCATCACCTAATTCCCCCCATGTCCTCTGTTGATGTACACCTGAACCAATATAGAATTATTCTTCAAAGGTTGATTGCGTTATCTGTGACACCGCACCCTCTCAAAGGGAAAACTTAAGTGATTTATTTCTATTACATACGAGTCACTGGAGCAATCGAAAGACAATCCACAAGAATGAAGACTACGACCCTCACAAGGGTTGTAACAGCGGAAAGATTATGTCGGAGTTTCACGTAAGGGACATCTTTCACTTCGTTGGCCGTTGTGTCAAAGTGGTTTAGGAGTGGTCACAAGAGCCTTTGAATCAGATCATCCTCATTGTCTGCACTACCATTGTCTTCGGTTCGGTCATTGTAGTTGTCTTCTTCCACTGCGTTCGCAACTGTCAGAAGTGGTGCCGGGCGCGCGGGTCTCCCAGCCATCACCGGCGTAACTGCCACTGCTCGAACCATCCTGGGAGCGGCAGTGCTACCTTGCTGCCACAGATGCAGTCTGATGGCATCACAACAGAGACACAACAGCCCATGCTGGATGGGATCCCAGACACGACATGCCTGCCAGATGTAGGTGATGAAGACATCCGTCCAGACCCGCCAGTTGATCCCAGCGCCCCACCTGTTGAGGAAGTCGTGGACGTGCCTGAGCACCCACTACCCAGCTCACCTCCACCGCCACCTTATGATGAGCTGCTCGAGTTGGAGGATCTTACTGGCAACATCAAACTCTGGGAGGAAGAGAATGACTCCCGCCCTATGAGCACTTCAGCCGCATAGATTCGAGAGACGGTTTTGTTCGCATTTCTCAGGTATAGGATTAGTAGAACTGTAGAAATAGATTTTTTGCTTTTTGTTTATTTTTGTGTCCTACTGTAGTCAGTAGGGTTCAAGCCAGATGGGTTGATAGTGGAACAGTATCATGGATTCACCCTCATCTGTGGACTTGAAGACTCACCTCATCCGATGGTTGCGTAACCCATACATTCAAATCTCAGTGATCGCATATTCAGTGCTCCTAGTTGCATCACTTGTCTGCTGGTATTTTTACTGCTTTTGGCTGCAGCAAAGAAAGGAGAGGGCAGACAGGCGCAATCAAATCACACCCGAGTGTCCTGCGGATATTTTCCAGTCATCCATTGATGGAGGAGAAGAAGAATGGGCAGGCCCACCAGCCTATGAAGAAGCGATTCACCTGCCCCCAGTGACCAGTTCAGACAGACAGCTCAAAGTAGAGAGTGAGGGCATAGAAGATACTGAACTACCATCCTATGATAGTGTGGCACATATTACCAACACAAGGCTTTGAAATGCTTTGAATATTGAATACACTTTCGTGTTTGCAGTAGGCAATGTAATGGTACTGTTGTCAGATCTAGTCGCTTTTGTTTGATGCACGTTATCGGTGGGTATAATTGGAAAAAGAACTTTATAGCCAATATTTGAATATCAACTTGCCTCTAGAGAGCTTCCTAGACCACGTAGAAAGACGACCATGTTCCTTGGTCTTGTGTTAGAATTTCTAACTTTGATATCTCATGCAGACCTGCATGAGTCAAGTGGGGCAGCCAATTCTCTTAACAAGTTCCTCATCACAGATGGGTTGTTGCGCAAGGCTGGGCTCAGGGAGAACCACAATGCTAGTGGTGGACTGCCACCGCCACCATCTGACAAAGCCAGCACCGGTATGCCTCCTACATTCACGCCTAATGGTAACCAGTCCGAACTGACAACCAAATGGCTGGTCAGCAGTTTGGAAGGAGTAAAGACAGAACTGATGCAGCAGGATGGAGTGACAGGTTTCGAGACAGAAATAGACAAGAACACGACTGGGAAAGACTCCAGTGAGCTGGTAGTAAACAAGGAGCATCATGTCGGTCAGTTTCTTGTATGCGACCCAGATTACGAGCGCCACTGCAGCGGCAGCCACTGCGTGCAGATTTTTGACGGTGCCTCAAGGTGTGTGGTGGACCGGTGTCGTGGGAAGCTTCTCATCTCCTGCCGGAACGGGCGAGGTTGCTACTCTCAGGTCCAACACTGTGATGAGGTAGCCGACTGTGATGACGCGAGCGACGAAATGAACTGTCTGACTCTGGTGCAAGTACACGATGAGCGACATTTCTACACCCGCACCGTGCCCTTCATAGCCATCCTCTGTCTGATGGGAGTAGCGGCTTCCTTCGTCTTATACCATCAGACAAATGCCGCGCGACAACGCCAGCGCCACCTCTCCATGGTGGGGCTGACAAATGCGCTCACCACAGCCGGTCTAGCCCAAAGAGCAGAGAGTCACGCTGTTCCCCGCTGGAGGACACGTGATGGTCCCAGTGATGGCCTTTTAGGCGACTTGCCGGAGGTGGAACACTTGGACTCTTTGGAGGCTGGTGGTATTAGCACTCAGCAGCTAGAACAGATGGGTGGGAACCTGCATGATTTTGAACACCTCGTACCTTCAGCACAGCAACTCCAGCTGCTGGCTGGGGATGTGACCCAGTTCTGTGACGAGCCCCTAGATGGTACCATCTATGCTGGCGATGGGACCATCTACGCGGCTGATGGCCGCTTTCATGATGGTTACCGCGGCTTCACCGCAGATCTCAGCCCAAGTGCCTGCAGCGCTCCCCCGTCCTATGAGACTGCATTAGAAATGGGCACTGTGATGGATCGCGACACAAGATCGCCTGCTGAAGGGACAATGGATGGGGACCCGCCTCCTTATGAGAGTGTCTCCCATATCACGTGTACGACCGTTGTCTCAGTGACAGAAGTCTGAGGGTACACTCTGCCCAAGCTGAACTATGGATACAACACTCTTTATAAAATATTGTATTATGTTTCATTGTCTAATACATATGAATATTCGTGGCAGCGCAGTTTGCAGCATGGCACTGTAGCTAGCAGTATATTTGCTTCCCGATGTTGATACAAAAGTGTTTCACCTTTACCAAGGGTACATAGGATTCGAGACTACATTTTTGTAAATGTTGAAAGTAAGTCCAGAATAGGAATAAAAAGTCATGTTTGTGATTTGCAAAAACAGGGTTAATGAATGTAAAGGACAGATGGAAATCTTAAATTTGCATTGAATAGAGTTCAGTGTTCAAACTAGCTCTTATGACTGCCATTAATATTGTTTGCTTAATCTTACAACCTTGACCTCTGACCCCATGATGGTGTTTGTTACATCAGACTACCTTGATGGTCTTGTGGTAGTGTGCTGGTTTTGAATGCAAAGGAGTAATCAAGGGAACCAAGATTCTAGCAGAAATCAAAAGAATGTAATCCAGGGATAAAGACCAGACAGGGAAAACAGACAAACACAACAAAGACCATAAAGTAACTAAAATAATACATGTATACAAAGTCACAAAAGTAAATGAGCAACTTGGACTCCACTGAAAACTGGGAGCTTGGATCAGGTGCACCGGTAGAGTAAGCGTCCTCTGCTTTTCTAGAAACACCTGATGAGTTGCTCACAAAAAGTCAAGTCCAGGGTAGACAAAAGAGGATAGGAAAACTATGACACGTTGAACAAATCAGTTTTTATGGTGCAGATGGATACACTGTAACGATCCACGAGTGTGATGACCATAAAACTTCTGCAGTGATGATTTCTATCTTGTAGCAACAAAGGTTGTTTTATTCTGGCTGAGTCAGGCCAAAGACTTTACACTAGTAGTCAATTCTTCTCTGACAAGTATGGGGCTATACAATGGTGCATTTGTTTTGTTTAACCATATTTGTTCCCTTTTCTATAAGAGAAAGAGTGATAATTTGTTGGCTTAGAGTCAGAATAAGTGTGTTGACATGCCTACCTGCAGGATGTTGATTTTGTGAGCTATGACAATAACAATCCAGCTCAGTGTGTCAGACTAGTACAAAGCAGGGTCTGTTTTATTGGCTCAGCCTGTCAGACTTTCCAAATCATGGTCTGTTTGATTGATCAAGTGTTCTTTTCCTGAAAAGCATGAAATATCTCCCAAAGAAGGGGTATAGCGCCTATTAACAATTTTTGTTGGTACGACATGCAGGACCTAAACTTTTAATTTTGGGCTGCTACGCCTTTGCAAAGGACCAAAACTACAATCGATCGATTTTGCCTAAGTGGTATTTTAGAAAATTTCATGTCCACCAGGTAAGCTTTCTCTTGACCCCATCTTGAAAATATTACACTGGTTCATTTCAATTCAATCTTTCCAGGTTTTGGTCAATTCAGGAATTCGATTTCCCAAAGAAATGTGAACTTTCCATTGAAAATTGTGATACTCTTATGAAATCCATGAATAATAACTTAATGAATGAATGAATTTTTGACAAACCTTGAAAATTGGTACAGTACCTGATTAGAACCGATCCGTGCAACAAAAATTGCGATCGGTTAATCAGTTTCCGATCAGTCATCGATCCATCAAACCGATCCATTTAACTCAATGTCCTAGCTAGGGCAAAATGGAAGGGCGCCGCGCCCCTCTGCCCCTATTGAGTACCCCCTTTAAGTGCCCATTTGCAATTATCTGAATTGCCCTTTAAGATTTCCACTCTTGTTAATAAGTTACCCCAAACCAATTAAGAAATGTCAACTTCATTAACTACATCCTTTCGTAATTAACCCTCAGGTAAACCTCTGGTAATTATCGGTGATCAATCAGCTGACCAGTGTTATCGGATAATGATTGACAAGTAGAAAATGAATCTCGATTGGATCTATAACGATTTTATGGACAGCCAATCATTGGTTGATAATTAATTTCTACTGCACAATTAATTTTACAAATATTTTCAAGTTAACAGGTCTAAATTTTGTATAACTACCAGTGTAAACAATTGCATGTTGCACATGTTTGTTTATTCAAGATGTCAATTACCTCCCTTATAATTTCAATATTTTTAAAATTTTCTATATCTTCAACAGTTAAGGACATTTTCCATAAGTTGTAATTGCAATAATTATAGTTAAACTGGTGATTGCCTCATGTGACCACAGAGCAGTCAATGTATTTTATGCCTTTTTGTTGTTTTCTTTGTCAATTTTACACTTATCTACATAATGTTAAAGATTAAAACATCAATTCATACTTTTTTTTGGTATTTCTTTTTTTTAAAACAGATCTTAAGTCATTTTACATAACAAAACTGCGATCAGATCGGTCAACGGTCATCAGTCATCAATTCGTCAGCGATCAAACAGTCAACGGTCATCGATTCGTCAAATTGTTGCACGGATCGGTTCAAGGACTGTACCCATGAACAAAAGTACATGTACCTTCACAGAAAATTTTTATAGAAAATTAAAATTATGAGCTGTACAGCAAACATTGGAATCATGATTGAAGTGTACTTTACATCAAACATATTTATCATGATTGATATCAACAAACAATTAATCATGATTGATATCAGCTATCTATTAATCATGATTGAAATTATAAAACTTTTAATCACGAATGATTTTTTTCCTTTTTTTACAGATAGAACCTGGTTCCATAACAGTGCTTGGCATCATGGGTAAAATAGACCAAGTAGATTCGGTGTCGGGAAGTCTGAAGTTGCTATGACGACAAGGAAGATAACTGTGATAAGACCTGTGATTTTTTTCACTGTGCTTTTCTATGGCAGTAATCTGTGCAGTAATGTGTCTATTTTAAGATATATTGTAATCGGTGTTTGGTAACTGGACGCGGTGTTGTTTCAAGCTTCCCAAAGCTTCTTGTTTAAATGGTAGAACCATTATAAAATAGTCTTCATGATGTACACTCAGAAAATGTGATGGTATAGTTTTCTGCTTATTTTAATAACTTTTAAAAAAATGGCAAAACAAAGCATCATTTAGTTATCATATTTATTGTTAACTTTCTACATTTGATGGCAAGTGTATTAAATAAGACATAATATAAACAAACTTTTTTTGGTGCGCAATTTATTTTCTGTTATTTCATGAGAAGAACTAATCACATAAATTTATCAGCCATATAAAGTCCCTTTGTTAGGGAATATATGTTAAACAGAGCATGAGTCACAAAAAATAAATAGCAGCAAAGTAAATATCCTGAAATGCAAAAATAAGTATCCACAAAAATTCATTTTTTTCATGTTATTTTCCATTTAATCCATTGTTGATGGAATTGGAAGGCCGTTGACCCTGGAGATCAGGAATCTAAATTAATATCATCTGTGGTGCAGTCCAAGATTGTGATAAGTGGACCCTTAACTGAATGGCACTAGGTCCTTTAGAAGAAGGGGATATTAACTTATGGCGGGTGTAAAATTTTGCGATTTGAGGAAAAAAATGTTAATGAAAAATTTGGGCGTTACTGATTTGGGAAGGTGCATGTAATTAGTGGTGCGCTAAAATAAGCATCCTTTGAAAACTACCCACTATACAGTATCAATGGAGTCTGAGAGATTTATTTCTGAAAAGATTATAGAAATCTCTGTTGGTTTGGGTTATGCAGTTTTACAATCTACATATAGTCCCTAAAATTATACATGTATAATTTATTCTGCTGTCTGATTTTTCAGATTTTGGTTAAGGTATTTCTTTATTATATATTTGTAATGAATTGTACAAGTTCAATTATCTATAAAGGTGGTTGATTGTTATTTATATGTTACATGTACATGTATGTTTTGTTATTTTATTATCCTCTTTGCCTTCATATTGGTCATGAAAATTTGTGGACAAAATAATTTTATTGATATTTGTGTATGAAACACAACTCAGCTCTTTAGTAAATGGCATGGATGGGGATATTATTTTCATGAATAAGCATTTTCTTGTGATTCCCTGAACCAAGAAAGAAGAAACTTATATGGTTTTTGATTATAAATTAATTTCTATATTTGATTCTTAATATTTTGTTTTAACTTAAATCAGAAGATTTTCATACTCAATAAATTTCATCATTTAGGACATGTAGGATATCAGTATTTGCATGTATGTTCTGTCTTCAGCTATTCGAGAGAAGGTATACAGGGGCGTATCCAGGATTTCGGGTTCGAAGGCGTATATAGAATTAAAGGCCAAGCCAAGCAAGGCAAGACAATTTTTGGGATAGAATATGCCAAAAATCAAAATTTCACGTAAAAAAAATGTTTCCAAAATTTTTTTTTGAGTGGGAAGGGGGTGGGGGGCTACACTGGGCATACCTCTCCTTGGATCTGTGCCTGGTATATTTCTTTTTGAACTATAAAACTTTTTCTTAAAATGAAAAAAAAAACGATTCCAGTTAAATTGTGTTATATAAAAAAAATACACTTCAAATTCTGCTTTTATTATCTCTGGCTTATATAGTTAAATCAAAGAACTAATGTAATGAATTAATTTAAGGATATATTTATTGTAACAGTCCTTTGGCTCATGAAATATATTACTATTTTGAAAACTTAAGAATCAGCATCCTTCAATAAATTTGAATCTAGATTACATTTAGCATCATTAGATCATTACAAAATTCTAAAAAATCTAGGCCTATTTTTGATATTCAAAGTCAAAGGTCTGAGAAAAGGGGAAAGTCTAGCTTTGCAATTAATTCACTGTGCAGTTAATTGGTTTAGCCTTCAGTGTCATGTGAGCAATTCGTGTCATGTGACTTCATTGTCATGTAAACAATTAGTGTTATAATTTAATTAAGGTGCCTGTCTTATTTTGAGTGGATGATTGTATTCTGTTAATGAATGTGGCTTAATTTATTTGTAATAAAACAATTAATACTCTAATTATTGTGTAGTACCATTCAAAATGCAGATCTTTTATGATTTCCTTCATATAATAGCATACCACTGTCGGCTTTCTCAGTAATGCTTTGGAAGGTAATAATAAGTGTTTTGTAGCAAGTTTGATTTGATGAAGGTGAAAGAGTAATCAAGGGAACCAAGATTCTAGCGGAAATCAAAAGAATGTAACCCAGGGTCAAAGAACAGAATACCCAACAAAGAACATAAAATCACAAAAATAATACATAGAATGTGATAAATGTAAATGAGCAACTCTGACTCCACTAAAAACTGAGAGCATCGACCAGGTGCATCGGTAGGGTAAGCGTCCTTTACTTTTCTAGAAACACCCGCTGAGTTGCTCATTAAATGTCAAGTCCAGGGTAGACGAAAGAGGAAGGGAAAATTATGACATGTTGAACAAATCAGTTTTCATGGTGCAGATGGATACACCATAACGTAAAAATAGAAACATTTGGGGCAAGCATATCATAATGATGTTGGGTAAGTGCAGTTGTTGTGGTTTTACCTGCATCACCAACTGCAAAAGCAGATCTAGTAGCTGTCTGTCCGTCTGTTTTTCACATTAAAGGGGACCTACTTTGTGTAATCTGTAACACCAAAAAATATTGAATCAATGTAATCAAAACTTTGCACAGTGTTGATATAAATATTAAAGACATGCACCTTCTTTTGTGGAGAAATTTGACAAATGCTTCCCAATTTTCAGCATGTTGAACTGGGCCATTTGTTCATTACTTTATGTTAGGGGTGGTACATCTACCTACTTTGTGTAATCGGTAACTCAAAATGTATAGAACTAATTTTATTCAAACTTATATGCACATATTATTGAAAATATTTGACGCCAAAAGAACTCAAAGTAAATAAAAACTCATTTCAGTGTAAGAGTTGATTGGAGTTATGACAATAAATTTTGGTATCATTTTCATTTGATTTAAATGTGATTTTTTTCATAAACTTTGTAGAAAGAATTACCGTATTATAACCTATACTTTCAAATCGAAATACATTTTATTCACATGAATCAATGACCTAAGTACCAATAGTTATATAGTAAGGTATACAATGACAAAGTTCTTGGAAAAGATCTATTTAAGTATTTATACATACAGTAGGGCTTACAAAGAAATTATTGAAGGCGATGACATCTATGTATCTATTACTATATTACAATGTACAATTAAAATACTCTTGCCAAAGACTTCATCTGTATACCTGTGCTTATATCACGGTATGCAAAGGCAATGTTCCGTATTTTGATACTAAGTAGTACATGTATACATATAGTACAGCATACATGAAAATACCCTTTGAAAATACTTCATCTAAGTACAGTTGAGTGTAGACCAAGCATAACCAATTAACGCGTGTCAAAAGTTTTCTTAAAATTTATATTTGGTGCAGACTGATGTTTTCGTTAAGGCGTTCAAAAAATTAACGTTTATAGGTCAACTGTGATTCTATTTTCGCTTTTACTTTTGCTATAAGTTCTCCCTTTACTATCGTGATCACTCACGTGTTCCCTTTAATTGGTACACTCGCTGAGACGTTTAGGTTTCCCGCACGCACGATACCTAAACGAACGCTAAACGCTCACCAAACGCACGATAAACGAACGCTCCTAGCGTGCGTTTAAACGCACGGTAAACGAACGCTCACAGTGTGCGTTTAAACGCACGATAGACGAACGATGAAAAATAATAATAATAACAAATAATGACGAAAGAAAAACTAGAAAATGAAATTAATGAATATATAAAGATTAATAATAGCAAAAAATATGAAACTTCTATCGTGCGTTTATCGTGCGTTTAAACGAACGCAAAACGATGTGTAAACGCACGATAAACGATGCACGAACGCTAAAATGGGAAACGTGAACGTCTCAAGGAGTGTAAATACTTTTATTTGAAACAAAAATCATCTTATTGGAAAAAGTGCCACTTATATGGTCTTAGTGCCTCTTTTAGACAAACCGTATTTTGATATAGCTTTAACAAAGGGTACTATGAAAGGGTAAAACAATCGGGCTACAGGTTTTCAGTTTTAATTTAAAACAAAAAATTATTTGAGACATGGAAACGAAATAATTTGAAAATTGTGGTCTATTTTACTCGATTGTGAATTTCGAACTGCAATTAATAAATTTAAAGGCGATGATGCCTCAATATGCTATACACCACTTAGACATTTTTTGTATTGCGCTATGGGATATTCGCGTACCTAAAATCCACTGAAACTATATAATAGTACATAGATTTAATGTGCTTACTGAGACCTGAACAACCATTTTTTACCAAATGTGAATTACTTATACGTCTACATGTATTAATCAAGAATTTAAGTACTTTGCAACTTATTTCCGCTTCTCCTTTCACTTTTCCTTTTTAGGGAAGCACGGGTGGCGTAGCGGTGTGAGCGCTCGCCTCTCATCAATGCGACCCGAGTTCGAGTCCCGCCGGGTTCGGTGTTGTATATGAGTAGAGTTGTTTGTTGGTTCTCTCCTGTGC